AGCCCACTTCTTCGGATGCATATGCATCCACGAAAGCTTATGCTCTAATAAATTTGTTAGTCTCTAAGGTGCCACAAGTACTCCTGTTCTTTTTACATTTGATATAGTCACTGATATCCACTTCTAACAGGCTACTGTGGTAGTCAGTTTTCCCAGGACAAGTATAGCTGGCAAAGCTCTCCATTGTCTTCTGCTTGGAACCCCAATTCAGCAAAGCACTTAGGCATGTGCTTAACTTTAAGCTTAAATCCCACTGAATCAATAGAGAGTCTCAGGGAAGAACTCATCTGTCAACAGATATAAACACTGGTTCACCTCATGTGGGCATTTACACCTGTGCAAAGTGGGTGTGAAATACTACCAGTCTGATGGGGAGAGTTTTACATGCACTTTGCATTAGAGTAAATGACTCCAAAGTGAAAAGCAGTGGAAAATTAGGCCCAGTGATGATAGAGAGATAAAGTTACCAAAGGATTTACAGTATTTTTAAACTGTTAACCTATCCAATTCTCTGACAAGGTTCTCTTTGAAATCAGTTATTAAAACCACAAGTGTTACTTTTCCAGGATGAATTCCTGACTGATTTTAGGCTTTAAATATAAATCTATGAATGTGCACAATTTGCTGCCCCAGTATGTATGGGTTATACACACTGCTTTGTTTATGTTAGGGACTACATGTATGTCTTTTTATCTCTGGAAAAAAATCAGTTTTAGAAAAAGATGGTTTGCCAATTTTAGTTCATTATTCTGGAGCCATTGCCAAGCTAAATTAGGTTTAAATAGGCATCTTGTCTTAAGATGCAAGTGCCATCTCTTCTACAAAGTATCCCTACTTTGGGATAGCAATAAGCATTGGTGCCAAATCCCTCTATTCTTGATCTTCCCTGTTGACTTGATTCAAGTGACAGAAGGGACATCTAGATGGGAAAGGAAAATTAAATTTAGCTCTATAGTCAATGAGCCCAATTGTCTTATTTCTTATACCCCTTTTGCACCAGTGTAAATCCATTGACTTTGACAGTTTCTCCTGATTTACACCAATGTTAGAGCAGCATTAAGCCTCTGCTCTCATTTACATTGCCGCAAATCAGGAATATCTCTATTGAAGTTATTGGAATTACCTTACAGTAAAAATAGTGTAAGTGAGAGGAGAATCAGGCTCTGCATAGCTATCCCTTACACATGCACACATGTTACTTATGCCCATCTTTTTCCCTTTGTTTCAGCTTTTCTCTTCCCCTCTATTTATTTCAATCTACCTCCGTTTTTAGATTAAATTTTATTACCCTCATCCTCACACCCTAAGCAAGAGGTGGGCAAACTACAGCCCGCCGGCCACATCCGGCCCCTGAGCTCCTGGCCTGGTAGGCTAGCCCCCGGCCCCTCCCCCGCTGTTCCCCTTCCCCTGCAGCCTCAGCTCACTCCGCCACCGGCGCAATGCTCTAGATGGCGGAGCAGCGAGCTTCTGGGGCAGTGCAGCTACAGAACCCGGCCTGACCCAGTGCTGTGCTGCGCAGTGGCAATGGCATGACTGGCTCCAGCCAGACAGTGCGGCTATAGCGCTGCCAGCCACCAGTGCTCCAGGCAGCGCGGTAAGGGGGAAGGGAGCAGGGGGTTGGATAGAGGGCAGGGGAGTTTCCGGGGTGGGCGGGGGCGGGGATAGGGGTCGGGGCGGTCAGATGGCGGGGAACAAGGGGGTTGAATGGGGGCAGGGGTCCCGGGGGGGGAGTCAGGGATGAGAGGAGGGGTTGGATGGGGTGGCGGGGGGCAGTCAGGAGCAAGGGTTCCGGAGGCAGTCAGGGGATAGGGAGAAGGGGTAGTTGGATGGGAGCAGGGGTACCGGGGGGCAGTCAGGAATGAGAGGGGGCTTGGATGGGCCGGC